TGCCTCATGGATAGAGACATCTGGTGTCTGGGAATGGACAGTGGACATTTCCTCTAGACAACTGCCCAGGGACAGTGTAAATCTCTTTCCACTCTGCCTTGGTCCACACAGCACCTGAGACAGGTGTGACTTGCCAAGATGTCAATCAACCTGCTGACTGCAAAAGAGATCAGGGCGCAAGATTCTGCCCTTGAAACCTTATCCCTGCCTTTGATGTTCCCCCTTAAATAAACCACCAGAAGCGTTTTCTCTTTGTCTAGTTCAAGAACAGGCGTGGACTAGATCAATTAGGGGCTTCGCTGTCTGTAAATATATTTCTGAGTGTGTTTTATTATTTGTTAATTATTTGAGATATAAGGTTTATAGTGGCTTGGACTCCTTTGGGAAGAAGAAGCCCGCAATGATATGCTGGTCATCAATCTCCAAATAGTGCTCCCCAAATCTGGTTGTTCATCAGAACCAAACATCAAGCTTTGTATGGGCCACACTGATAATTTAATGGATTAGAATCTCTCAAATCTCCAGGGGGTGCTAAGAACTTTGTATTTTCAATATGCACCACAAGTGATTCAGAATTAAAACAGGTTGGTGATTCCATTCCCAATTTTCCAAGAAATCTCCATACTTCTTCTCACATTGGCTGCACCAATTTGCAGTCCACCAGCAGTGTATGAGTGAGTGTCTTTCTCCCCACATCCTCGCCAACACTTATTGTTGTTTGTCTTCATAATAGCTGCCATTCTGACTGGAGTGAGATGATAGAGTAGTTTTGATTTGCATTTCTCTGATTGCTAGAGATGATGAGCATTTTTTCATATATGTGTTGATTGATTGTATATCCTCTTCTGAGAAGTGTCTGTTCAGGTCCTTGGCCCATTAATAGATTTGTTTTTTTGGTGTTTAACTTTTTGAGTTCTTTATATACCCTAGAGATTAGTGCTCTAAATATTTGCTCCCAAGATGTAGATTCTCTATTCACCTCGCAGATTGTTTCTTTTGCTGAGAAGAAACTTTTTAGTTTGAGTCCATCCCATTTATTGATTCTTGATTTTAATTCTTATGCCACAGGAGTCTTATTAAGGACCTAATGTGGGGCCTAATCCCACATTATGGAGATTAGGGCCTACTTTTTCTTCTATTCGATGCAGGGTCTCTGGTTTTATTCCTAAGTCCCTGATCCATTTTGAGTTTTGTGCATGGTGAGAGATTGAGGTTTAATTTCATTTTGTTGCATATGGATTTCCAGTTTTCCTAGCACCATTTGTTGAAGAAGCTGTCTTTTCTCCAATGCATGTTTTTGGCACCTTTGTCTAATATAATTGTAGCTTTGTGGTTAGTCTCTGTGTCCTCTATTCTGTACCATTGGTCTATCAGTCTGTTTTGCTGCCAATACCATGCTGTTTTTGTTATTACTACTGCTCTGTAGTATGGTTTAAGGTCTGGTATAGTGATGCCACCTGCTTCACTCTTCGTGCTAAGGACTGCTTTAGCTATTCTGGGTCTCTTATTTTTCCAGATGAATTTCATGATTGCTTTTTCTATTTCTATGAGGAATGTCATTGGAATTTTGATCGGAATTGCATTAAATCTGTATAGTGCTTTTGGAAGTATGGTCATCTCCCCGGTCTATATCCAAAGGACTTAAAAATAGCATACTACAGGGACACAGCCACATCAATGTTTATATCAGCACAATTCACAATAGCTAAACTGTGGAACCCACCTGGATGCCCTTCAATAGATGAATGGATTTTAAAATGTGGCATATATACACAATGGAATATTACTCAGCATTAAAAGAGAATAAAATTGGCATTTGCAGGTAAATGGATGGAGTTAGAGAAGATGATGCTAAGTCAAGTTAGTCAAACCAAAAAAAGAAAAAATGCTGAATGTTTTCTTTGATATAAGGAGGCTAACTCATAGTGGGGTAGGGAGGGGGAGCATGTGAGGATTAGATGAATTCTAGATAGGGCAGAGGAGTTGGAGGGGAAGGGAGGTGGCATGGGGTTATTAATGATGGTGGAATGTGATGATCATCATCATCCAAAATACAGGTATGAAGACACGAATTGGTGTGAATATACTTTGTATACAACTGGAGATAGGAAAAATTGTGCTCTATATGTGTAATAAGAATGCATTCCCTTGTCATATATAAATAAAAAATAAAAATAAAACAGCTTGGGATAGCCATGAACTACAGATAATTATTCAGGCATGAGAAAGAACTTAGCGTGGCAGAAATATGTGAAATACAAACAGAAGACTAGAGAGAAATCAGAACAAGAGTAGGTATATAACCTCTGTAGTCTTTCAAATAGGACCTACAGAATTGGTGCAAACTCTCAAAGCAAATGACAATCATCTATGTCATGCATTTTAGTAAACTATTTATAACATGAACAAATTTCTTAATTAAACCATATGGAAAATCTAAATACAAACACTTTACATCTCAAGACAAAGACAAACTGCTCCTTTAAAAACGAACCAGAACACTACTCATCACAATTTTTATTAATATAGTAACTAATCATTTCCCTCAGAATAATTTCTGGTATTAGAACAGAAGTTATGACAATACCATTTTAACTTGAAATGCTGTATAACATAAAATGAATTCATGTATTTTGAAATTCAAGTTTTAAATGTAAAAACTGTCCTTAATGATACTATATTTTCAAATGGTTATTTCATAAAAATTTGTTACTTTATGACCAACACTTAATTATTATTTT